TTTTCAGTACCTATTGAATCCAGCTTATTGGTACTAACATTCAAATCCTCTAATGTCTTTATATAGATACATCTTATATATTGTTTATTTTTTATGTATTGAGCTGTCATTAAAATCTTCCACCAAGATTGTAATTTTCCACTTTATATTTTCAAGACTTCTTTGTGTGTGTGTGTTGTGTATATTTATAATATATAAACAGTCATACACATTCTTAACTATTAATGTGGATTTGTAGTGTTTCAGGCTTTTGAGACCATAATCTACTTTAATACTACCGACATACTGGATTTTTTGGTTTTCTTTTGGCGGGGTTTTTGGTTTGTTCTTTTATATCTAACTTTTCTGCATCATTTTAGTTGTTTTTCTCTTTTATTATGCTTTTGGTATTAGTGCTTTATGGATATTTCTTCTTTTTTTTTTTCCATTTTTCATGTACTTTGATATTTGATTAATTTTTTATGTTTATTTTTTATTCCTTTAGTGATTTGGAAGTCACGCACACAACTTTCTTCTGTATATTCCAATCTTTTAAATCAATGTCTAGAATGAAGCATTATATGTCAACCATCCTTTCCCTCCAACAACATGAAAATGCTTTTCCTTCCTTCCTTGGCACTCTCCCCCAAAGCATTTTCAAAGTTGCATTCACCTGTGTAACTACCACCCAAATCAAGGTACAGAATTTTTCCATAGTCTTTCCTCTTTCCAGTCAACCACTCCCCATCCCCAGAGGCAAAAGCTTTCTGATTTCTATTGTCATAGATTAGTTTTACATTCCCAGGCTTCACGTAAATAGAATCATACCATACGTACTCTTTTGTGTCTGCCGTCTTTTGTTCAATATAATGTTTTTGAGATACACTCTTCATGTGACACGTATCAGTAGTTTATTCTTTTTCACAGTTGAGTAGTATTTCGTAGCATAAATATTTCAAAAATTGTTTTTCCACTCTTCTATTTATGGATACTTGGATTATTTCCATTTTGGAGCTATTATAACTAAGGCTACTATGAACACTCTTAAACAAGTCTTTTTGTGGACATATGTTTTCATTTCTTTTGTGTAAATACCTAGAGGTAAAATTGCTGGTTCACAGGGTAGATGTATATTTGACTTTATAGGAAACTGTTGAACAATTTTACAAAGTGGCCATATCATTTTACTGTCCCACCAGAAAATTACAAACAGTTCCGGTTGCTCGGTTCAAAATATCATTTGATATTTTATAGAAATCTACTTTGATATATAACCATATCAACTTGCTTGTACTTATTGTTGCATGGTATAACCTTTTTTCAACCCCTTTCTTTTTAACGAGTGTATTTATATTTTTTAAAAATTTCTCTTATAGACAGCATATATTTGGGTCTTAAATTTTATCCAGTCTGTCTGATGATCTCTGCCTTTTAAATAAAGTGTTTACTTCATTTTCATTTGATGTAATTATTGATATGGTTGGGATAAAGCCTACCATCTTGGTACTATTTTTTTATTTGTCTTAACTGTTTTTATTCCTCTGTTGCCCCTTTCCTGTCTCTTTTCCATTAATTGAGTACTTTCGGAATTTTATTATATCTTCTCTATTGATTTCAGATTTTATTTTGTTTTTTTCCTAATAGTTACTCTAGACATACCAACACGCATCCTCAACTTATTCATATTCTACCTTAAAATAATATTATATTGCTTCACAAATGAAGTTAGTGTTTTTAATTTGTCCACATATATACTCTTTATGTTCTTGTCATCTATTTGGTTTAAACATGTGTTGTAAACCCCATAGTATATTATTATTAATTTTGCTTTAAATAGTCAATAATTTTTTAAAGAAATTCTTTTGTGTTTACCTTTCTGGCCAACATTTGTGTTATCTGTGGATCTGTTTCTATTGACTATTTTTTCTTAATTATGGTGCACGTTTCACTGCTTCTTAACGTTATCTTATAATTTTTTTTTATATGCTGGACATTGTGTGAAAAAGAACTATGGAGTGTAAAACACATATTATTTTCCCCCAGAAAAGTTCATGCCCTTTCCTATGTCAGGCCTCTAGGGTGGAGGCTGAGTCAATCTAATCTGTAGTCAAGTTGGTTCTGGGCTTTTTTTGAAGCTTTAGTTAAATTTACTTTGCTAACTTCAAAAGGTCATGGGGGAAGATAAGGATTATCCCTTTAGCAGGTCTTGGAATTTGTCCAGTGGAGAACTCTCTATTCTTTTCATAGAAAGTTTATGCTGCCAACTTGTGGGATCACTGGGGAGTTCTTTTTCTCTCCAGCATTGTCCCCAACTTTCTGCAATTTGGAAGATCACTCTCCATTCTGATGTTCTGTCCCTAGCCTTTGATGAGCTGTTGCCTTGCACTTAGTGAAGGATCTGTGTACTTTGGGGGAATTTCTCTCAATTCTCCTGTCCTACCTTTGGTAGGCCTTTGGTAGGATGCTACCGTGGTTCTTGATTAAGTTAAAATTCACTGTAATTTTTGAAAATAAAAAATTACACAACAGTGTAACAACAGATCTACTTTGCCACATATTGTCTCTACCTTTATTATAGAATTTTACCTATAATTAATCCATAAAAAATCAGTTACATCCTACTTTAACCTAAGGCAAGGGAAAATTTCTCAGGTAAACTATATTACTATGCCAGCGTTAAGTCCAGACTCATTTTAATCCAATAAATATTTAGGAGAACATATGATTGGTAATATTAACAAACATAATTATTGTTTATTATACAAAAAACACTTATGGTTTGATATTAATGTGCAAACACAAAAAAAGTGTGCAGTTTCTTTTATCTGCAAAACCATGGTCAAAATTCCAGTACTTTAAAACTCACATAGGGCCGGCCCCGTGGCTCAGCGGTTAAGTGCTAGCGCTGCGCTACTGGTGGCCCGGGTTCAGATCCCGGGTGCACACCAACGCATCACTTCTCTGGCCACGCTGAGGCCGCGTCCCACATACAGCAACTAGAAGGATGTGCAACTATGACATACAACTATCTACTGGGACTTTGGGGGAAAAAAAAAGGAGAAGGACGATTGGCAATAGATGTTAGCTCAGAGCCGGTCTTCCTCAGCAAAATGAGGAGGATTAGCACGGATGTTAGCTCAGGGCTGATCTTCCTCACACACACACACAAAATAATAAATAAATAAATAAATCCTCTCTCTAAAGTTTAAACAGGCCTTTAAAAAAAAAAAAAAACTCACATACCCATGTGTTAGATGTGCCAGAAGTAGACACCTGGCGACGTTATATAAGGTTGTTAAAAGTTTTGAAGGATCGGTGCTGTCTTATTTGCTTTTGGGTTGCTGACACTGAACACAGAGTGGATACAAAGCACACCCTTCATATGTTGTTGAATAAACAGCTTTGAGAGAACAATAAACCTTCACAAATAACCCTTAACAGATAAAACACAGGTATCTAAAGTGCTACAGTCAAAATCCCACTGGCATTTCTTATGATAATGAATATTTTCCAAGAACCCACGGGTAGGATTTTCTCTTGGGTCATCCGGCCTATTCATCCCACTCAATAAACAAGACTTGGAAAGGCAGCTGCCCACCTTCTAGGTCTCTCTCTGTTGTCCTAGACAGCCCTTGCTCTCGCTGAACTTGAGACATCAGGCAGAGAGAGACAGAGTCTCCCATGAGTGCTAAGGTCCTGCTATGATATGCCAGTTGAAGGAATTCTTCCTGGAGGCTGCCCCACCTTCTTGTAAATCAGCTGTAACCAAGTAGCAGATGTATCCAGGAGTGAGGTTAATGTGTTTCCTGACAGAAACACTCCTTCCTCCCCACACTCCCAACTTGTCCCACTTTTACTCACTTCCACCTTGGAAATCATTGTCCCTGGGCTACAGGAAAGCTGGCCATCTGGTCTCCTGACACTCCTTGTCTGACAGTTCTACACACACACCTTATTGTTTCTCGTCTCTGAACTTTTGCTTCTGCTGCTTTCTTTGCTTGGGACGTCCCTTTCTTCCCCACCTCCATCCCCTGACTCATTGGCTAAATGCAGTCTATAAGACTGAGCCCAACCTGGGGATTTGAAGAAGGCTCCCAGGAGGAGATAATATCTGAATTAAATGCCCCTCATCTGAGTTCCCACACCACCCAGTAAATGTGCACCTCACTTTAGGCTTCACATATTACACTGTTTTCACATATGACTCCTCCCACTAGACTCAACTCTGGGATGCTCCAGGATGCAGACCTTGGCTGGCACATTTTTGTCTCCACTATGTCTGAACATAGTGACTCATTCATAGTAGTTGCCCAATAAATATACTCAACTAACTTCAACTGAGACTGGCTCATCCCTCTCCTGCCCTGTATTCTGATAGTAAGGTTGTGTGTCTTCCTCAGGGCAACTACTTCTACTTGCCCAGGGGTCTGGGGCAGAAAAGCTGAAGCCGTAGGAGTTCCTGACATCTGAATGCCTTTCATCATTTTACTTCATTTTGGGAGAGTCAAGGTCCTGGCTTAGAACCCTTGCTTTAACTCAGTGATTTTTAGGCTTGCTAATCAGTGCAATACCTCTAAGTCCAGTGAGACTAATGAAATATTTATTATATTATTCCCAGATTGATCAGATACTGCCTAATACTTGATTCTAGAGTAGCCAAAGATACACTAGAAGACTTAGCAATTACAAAAATCTATAGGAAAAAAGTTTTAATTGAGACATTTCTGTGTACTAATTAACTATTTTGTTGTTGTTTCAAATTGGAAAAGACAACCATTGACCATTTTTTGCTAGTCCCTGTCATGGGACACCAATGTTGCATAGGAACGACATTTGAAAACCTCTGTTGCAATTAAACAAAATTACAGTTAAATACACCACCTATCAACAATAAATCTTTTTATTTCATGAAAAGGAACAAAAATTTAATTTTGACTAATGATGCTTGCTTCCTGGAATAGGCTCATAGCTCTACCTCGACTATTGAGGAAAGTAACATTTACCATCTTTTTCCTTCTTAGGCTGTGAGGTTGAGATTCTTGGTGTCAGACCTACTTACTGCCTAGAATATAAAAACGTGCCAACGGATATCAATTTTGCCAATGCAGTCAGCGATGCCCTTGACTCCTTCAAGTAAGTGTCCCAAATTCTTAGCCATACCATTGTTCTTCCTTGTTTCTAGGACCAATAATGAGTGCTAAAGTGGATTAAGAAGGCTTGGTGTAGGTGAAATAATGTCTCAGAGAGGTGGTGAGCCTCTCGCATGGTGATTGACTGCTAGCAGAGAATAATTGTGAGCAAGTAATTTCAGGCAGGGACACACTTTGGAAATGTTGAATTGAGAACAAGAAGGTCCCCCGAGGTTTGAGACTTTCTTCTTTATGTTGATGGACAATGGAGAAGCAATATGAATGTCAGCATTTCTCTAATCATGATAAAGTGAATGCTTGTATCACAGAAGATGTTAATAAGTATTTGGCAAAAAGGGAGGATCTGTGGTGGAATTAGTTTGGAAAAATTGCCTGCTCTACCCTTTTCTTGGAAATACACAAAGCACATTAGCATATTAAAACATAGAACTTTTTTTATTTCTTTCACATGGAACTGTGATAGACAGTATGAAAAATGCAGTAATCAGTACTGCTGTCATGAGTAGCACACAGGAGTGTGTCAGGGAGACTGATCAAGAACACAGGTCAAGACAAAGCCTCAAGTCGGTCTCAGAAATCACTGGAAGTGGAAGTCAAGATGGGAGAACAGGTGGGGGTCTGCAGTAGAAATCAGCAAGGATGATGTTCAGGCTCTCACATTTCCGGGGCTGGGCGTGGGGTCACCTTGGATGCTGAGTGGGTCTCCTGGGTGGGATCCAGGCAGAAGACACACAGTAATCAGTGTGGAGGCTGGTGAAGGACCTTCATCCTCCCGAGAGAAAGCCTGGTTTCAAGCTGGCAGACCCTGAGAGCCGGAATACCACAGGCGTGGTATAATCACTAGCACTAACCACATGATGTGGGTGACCTGTAACTAAGATTGCTTCAGATATAGACTTGACCAATTATGAATCTCATTCTTATCACCTCCACCCCAGCCATCCCAGGGAGCAGCAGTCACCCCCCACAGAGCTGCAAAAGGAGAAGACAATACTCCTGCCTTTACTGCTTCTTAGAAGGATTCCACTTCCATGAAAACCTATCAAGAGGGTCTTTGGGGCACATGAAGATTCAGATTCTGATTGAAAAGTTGGAGAGAAAATAGGCTTAAAATGCTTAAAAATTGAGAAGTAACAAATTTAAAAGTTTAGGTTTTTGAGGGGAGGCGGAAAAGGCAGGGGCAAGGTCTGGAGGAAATAACCTTTAAATAAATATTCTTCAACACGTGGTTTGTAACTCATGTGTTACGTCTCCTACCTACTTTGCTTTCTTTATCTTGCCCACAAGTGCTGGAAAACCACACACAGGATGAACTGGAATATTTTGTTGCAGTCTGGTTTGTGCAAGCAAAACAGAATAGCACAGCATGCACAGCAGATGAGCAAAGCTCGAACTTTGGAACAGCTCTATGTCATTTGGAACAATGCTGTTTCCAACATATCGAAAATGCTAGCCATCCCTACCGCCTATTGCCGTGCCAAATGTGAAAACTTGCAACATAGTTGTCATACAAATACCTCCAAAGAATCCAACACTCTGGTGGGGTAATCTTTTTTGCATTCGTCTTGCCTGGACAGCTGAACGGTCTCTCGCTGTGTTCATAGAGAAGCACAGAGCGCACAGCCGTGAGAATCCCGTGTCAGCACTGGCCTGCAAGCTGGCCAATCCAAGCAGACTTGCTGGTCCTGAGGCACACCAGAATGCTGGAGGAATAAGTGCCGGGCTCTGTTTCCTAGAGAAGTTTCTGTTTTTGTTTCTCTATTTCTAAAGTTTTTCTTTTTTCCTTTTTAAGCAACATGGCAAAGCTGTGGAACACTGGGGAATCCCATCTTTGCCTTGAAGCACAGCGTTTAAAAAGGGGGAGGATGGTGTTGGTGATGTTGGTGGTGGTGGTTGTGTGTGTGTGTGTGTGTGCACATGTGTGTGTTAAACAAAGGCATTGGACTCCCCTAGAGAGAAAAGTCTACAAAGAACTGGAGGCCCATAAAAGTGGCCCCAGCCTAGGCCTCCACGTGGTGTGTCCTGGCACTAGCACATTGCCCACCTCAGCACCATTCACACAGTGGTCTGTGTAGATGACCTCGAACTCCAGTGGATGCATTCACAGTCTACCTGTGAATGATGCCTCTGCAGTTAGACAGTGAAGGCCTGGGCAGGATGGAACCAGGCCAGGGCCATTGTCTTGTCAGGTCGTTATACTGCCAAATTAACAAGGCAGCCAGAAACAGCCCCTTTGAATAGTGGGTGGAAAGATGGAGACCCACCGTCTCTGAGTGCTTGAAATGAGAGAGAGAGATAAAACAAAAAAAAAACAATTAGCCAGATGATACTTACTGCCTGTGGAAGGCAGTAAGATGATTTAGGCTCTCCTCCAAAGAAAAAGGAGACACCTCTTTCAACAGCCTACGTATTATGTCTTATTAGAACATGTCTCATTACCTTCCTGCAAAGTAGAATAAAGGATTGACATTTGCGGGCCAACATTTGCTTAGTCTAGAACAGTCTGGAATAATCAAGACCACTTTACAGGTAGCAGCTTGTTCATGCAAGAATGTGACTCAAAGGAATCATGAATTTTCTTGATGTGTGTGTTTAGGTAGAGATGTATCATTATTTATCTTTCCATCAGATAGCCCTGAACAGAGGAGCACATTTAGAGCTCCGTAGCTCATCTCTGGGTTTCTATTCAGCTCTATCTCAAATTCCTAGCTATAATTTGAAGAGCACTTAGAGTTCTCACACACAAGTGTGCAAATACACACGCATACATTTCTCCAAGCCAGGACTGCTTACAGAGGCCCTTTGTCCACTCTGCTGTTAGTTGGAGAAGCAGAGAGAATGGACACAGGATAGATAGGCTTTGACAGAAGACAGGACAGGCAGTTAAGGTCTTGAACGTGGAGTCCTAGCCAGGGACAGCATTTCAGCAAAGGGTCTAGGTCAGCCCAGAAGCTGTACGTCTTTGTAGGAAGGACTGGTCCAGCCTCCATGTGTGATGTGGGCATCGCCTCCAGAGCTCATAAAGCTGTATTGACCCAAGTCATACCCTTGGTAGATGTTACCTTTGCACTTAGACACCTTCTAGCGCAGAGGAAAGAAGGGGAAGAGAGTTGATGTTCTCAATGCCCATCAGCTAGCATTGTGTCAAAGGCTTTGTTGCCATCCACCCACTTTGCAGCCCTGGCTGCCTGGAGGAGGCCAGGCAGCTGCTTCCAAGTTGGTCCCGGCAGACTGACTGATGCAGCCCCTCAAAAGGGTTGGTCAAGTAACACCTGGGCCACTGGAACAGTGGACACAGCTGCTGTCCTTTGTCAAGCTCCAAAGGACTTCCTCCAGGATCCCACAACCTCAGTGGCTGCTGGTGCTAATAAAGGAGTGGATGGATGACACAGACGGTTCTTTCCAAAGGCCACGAGGCAGCCGGCTCAAATGTCCTGGCCTTTGTCCCTCCTGCCTGTGACTCTGAGGAAGAAGGGGCAAGAATGCAGGCTCGGCAGAGACTGGGTTCTCCTCCCCACTCGACGCAGGGAAGAGCCATCTAGGGGTATCTGGAAGGAAAAGAGAAATGGGAGGCGTTTCTTTCCCTTTGCCTCTCTTTTACTGAGTGTGAAGCACTTGACAAACATCAGTTCATTTAATACCCAGTATAGCCCTTTGAGGAGGTGTTTCAGATGGAGGAATTGAGGCTTAGAGATATTTTTGCCGTTCATCTGAGACCTCCAGGTTAATAAGAAGAGGAGCCAGAATTTGAACCCAGATATGTCTAGTTCCAATGCCCTTTCAAAGTATAATTTTCAAAATTAAAACTTTGTCATGTACTCAGTACATACATATAAGAGAATTATGCCAAAGTTCAAATTAATTTATTACTGAGGGAATCAGGAGATGACAAGGCTGGTTAAAAGGAGAATATGAGAAACACACACACATGAAGAAAAAGCACAATGGAAAATGAGGGGGTACAATTATTGTTAGACACAGAAATGCTTAATAACTTAGAGGATAATCAAACCATAATCTTCAGGACTGCTTTCTCTATCAGACAGAAATAATTTTCATCCTATCAGTTTCCTACGGGTTAACAGCCAAGTTTAGAGTCTGGGCTCTAACCCCGCATTAAGTCTGGTGACCCGTAAGTAAGTTTCTTAGATACTGCTCCACTATGACACTGAAGGGATAGGCAGTTATTTTTTTGGCCTTATTTCTAAGTTTTGGATCGCTTTTCTTAACAGTCAATAACTTCAACCATTCCTTTAAATTGCCTCCGTTTCTGTCTCCTTACTTCTTCTCTCTTTCCAACCCCCTTCAGTAAGGAAAATAGATGTGACATTATGAACTTTTTGCACTGAAAAGAAATCTGGACAGAATCCTAAGGTGATGGGAGACCTGGGTGTCCCTGAAACCCCAGAGCTAGGGGCCCCTTTTAGCTCTCAGGTAACTGGGCTGATGGCCACATGTCCTTCTGGCATGGTTCCTGGACCTTAAAGCTATAAATGGCCAATAACAGATCTGCAGGCATTTCCACCCATCGCTCCTCACCCAACCACACTGTTATAAATGAGCTGACCTGTGATGGAGACCAGATCCATGTGGAAAACAGCTGGCAACCAAGAATTTGTCAGCTCAACTCCAAACAGGCAAGAGCTCTCAGCCCTTGAAGACTTAGGTCCCTAATGAATCAATGAAACTCCAACATAGAAGTCTTTCACAAAAGGCATGTGTATAAACCCCTGAATCACAAGCATCCTAAATCCAGTGTTCCTGGCATCTGGGGTTGACAGCTTCCTGACACAACGCCATCAGGTAAATCTGAGACTTAGTGGCTTTCTGATCACATGGAGATTTGTGAATCTAGTAAATAGCCTTAAAGAAACCAGCCCAGTGGCTGCTGTATGAAGGGGAGATATCTAAAATGTAGGGACCTAAAAACATTTCATTGAATTTGAATGCAAAAGTAAACCTTGGTTGTGAAATTTCCCCACATCCAAGCCCCACCCTGGAAGCATGCACACCTAAACACAGGATAACTCAGCACATCTGGATGCTACAGATGCAAGTACACAAAGCAGCTAACTGCTGAGCTTATCTGAGGGAACTATTTGATGGAAGGTTCCATTATGTTCTACATAGTGGTGGAGGAAGTGCCATCGGTGTAATGAAGATGGGCTTCAAAAAAGTTTAGGGATATGTATGAAAATGCCATTACCTAGTAAGAACTTTTACATACCACCCACATACTTGTGAGACCTAAAGTGACTTTTAGTTCTCTGCTGTCTACAGATGCAGAGGGAGTTTAGATCAGTCATTCACACATTAGCAAGTATGAATAATGACAATATCATTTGTGAGAAAGATTAGCAGACATTTGGTCCTGTCCAAAATGTCCGTAAGACATTTGATCCATAAGACATTTGGTCCATGCCAAAAGGTCCTGGACATTTGGTCCTGTCCAAAATGGCCATGGAGACATTGGGTCTATGCCAAAAGGTCCTTGATATTTGGTCCTGTCCAAAACCACTTGACATGGACCAAATATGCTCATGGTTTTGGACAGGACCAAATATCAAGGACCTTTTGGCATAGACCCAATGTCTCCATGGCCATTTTGGACAGGACCAAATAGACCAAATATCAAGGGCCTTTTGGTGTGGACCTAATGTCTCCACGAACATTTTGGACAGGACCAAATGTCCTGCAAGGATGAGAAACCTCTAAATAATAACCTAACCCAAGCCCCATTGTAGAGGAGGGTGGTGATGGTATTTGTTAAGGAAGGGCCAGTTTGTGTTGTTCTAAAAAGAGAAGAGAAGACTTGACTAGCAATTTCACTTAACTCAAAACCAGTGTGTCCTCAGAACCATTAATGGAGCACACCCCAGGGAACTCAGTAGATCATCATAGCATCGTTAAAGGATGTGCCCTCTCGGCAAGGAAGACGCCAGGCAGAACATTCTCTGGAACTCGCTGCCCCGTGGTGAATGGAGTAGATGTGGACGTTCAGAAGTGCAGGGTGGTAGAGCAAAGTGTGCTGACCTTGGAGGTGGAAGATGCACATTGCCAGTCCTCGCCACGTCTCAGAGGTCTGTGAGGCTTTGAGTAACTCCTGGAATCCTTTTTGGCGTATTTCCTCCTCTGCCAAGTTTGTAAATGCTTTTCTTTTTTTAATTTTATTTATTTATTTTTTCCCCCAAAGCCCCGGTAGATAGTTGTATGTCAGAGCTGCACATCCTTCTAGTTGCTGTATGTGGGACGCGGCCTCAGCATGGCCGGAGAAGCGGTGCGTCGGTGCGCGCCCGGGATCCGAACCCGGGCCGCCAGCAGCGGAGTGTGTGCACTTAACCGCTAAGCCACAGGGCCGGCCCTGTAAATGCTTTTCTATAGGGATGCTTTTCACTGTAGTTCTAGAATTTGGAGGCACATCCAAACCACAGACATAGAGCCCTCTGCATTGAGAAATGGAAGTGACTCAGTTTCCCTGTGCTGCCTGTGCCTTGTCTCATACCCAGCTTTCTTGGGGTTGATGGGATTCTTATAAGAATAAGAACCGTTTCCAAAAGGTCAGTTAGGTCAAGCAGAACGTTTTCCCATTGGTGTGGGCTGTTGAGACCTTTCAGAGTATTCCGTGGTTGTGTCCAGGATGTTGGAGTCAGCTGGACCTGGGTTTGAATCCCAACTCCATCTCTCACTAGCTGTGTGATGCCGGCAGCTGTATTGAACTCTCTGTTCAATTATAGGGTTGCTGTGAGAATTAAATAAGATAATATATGAAAAGCCCTCAACATAGTGCCTGACCCAGAGTAACTATCATCTATTGAGCACTTACTATTATTATACATTCAGCTGACAGTTATAGAGCTCCTACTGTATGCCAAATCCTAGGCTGAGCTGAGACACAATGGAGAATGAGTCACCACCCCTCAGGTGAAAAACCCTCACAATTTAGAGAGGGAGAAGGACACAGAAATGGGCAATTATAGCACAGTATGAAAAATCATAACCCGGAGATGAACCTAGAGTGCTATGGGAGCACCCAGGAGGGCCACCCTACTGAGGCAGCTTCCTGGAAAAGGCAGCACCTCCCCTGAGACCTGAAGGGTGGGCAGGAGCTGATTATCTGTGGTCATGCAGACCATGCTCTCTGGGCCACTGTGAGGCCATTTTTCCTGCCCTGGGAATCACAAGACCCAAGGCACAGAGGCTCTGAGGGTGCATATTCTTTCCTGCCTTGTGTTCCAAGTGTGGGGAGGCCACATCAGGAGAGACCATGCCACCTCGTGTGTGTGTGTGTGTGTGTGTGTGTGTGTGTGTGTGTTTGTGTGTGGGTTTAAAATATAGTTTTTCAAGAGAAATAAGGCAATCTGCCAAGAGTATTAATTATTAACCCTTGTAAAGTCCAAGCAAAGGAATTAGCTTTAATTTATTTTTTTTTTATCCTCCCCAAAGCACCGGTACATAGTTGTATATCCTAGTTGTAAGTCCTTCTAGTTCTTCTCTGTGAGCCGCTGCCACAGCACGGCTACTGACAGATGGGTGGTGTGGTTCTGCACCTTGGAGCCGACCCCGGCCGCCAAAGCAGAGCACACTGGGCTTAAGCAGTAGGCCATTAGGGCTGGCTCTAGCTTTAATTTCTTTCCCACTGCTTCAACTTCTGTCAGTTACTATTACTGATGCCATCACCATCATCCTGATCGTTGTTCTGTTCAGGTGCTTTGGGGGTAGGCTGTGGGCAAAGCTAGAGCTGGGGAGGGGAGTCTCGGTGGAAAGCACCGGATGAAGGAGGGAGGGTACGCTACATGGTATTTTTCTCTCCTCCCTGACTCCAGAAGCCCCTTCTTCCAATTTATGTCGCTAGTTCCCATGCATTCTCAGCCCAGCGTAGAGGGTTACATAACTTAGGTTTTTACCATTGGTCTTCTGGCCAAGAAGGGGAGTTTTGCCAGAACCAAGGTCTTCCTGGGACTCATAGAAGTGTGGTCACTGCTAGAATTCACTCTATATCCACATTGGAGCTGAGCCTTCATGTGTCCCCATAGAATAAGGGTCCTGGGGTTATCTGCTGTGGTCAGGCCCTCAACATGAACCTGTTTGTCTCCCACAAGGTTGCCGCGGTATAGCTTGTTCTTCTTCTCACCAGTCAATTAAACCCACAGTCTAGTGTTTTATCTGTAGACTTCCTGAAGTCCAGCAATAATCAAATAGTTGTTATTTAAATGATTGCCTCTAGTTTTTCTGATGTTCCAATGACAGCAGATGGTGAGGGTAGAACTATCAGAAGTATCTCCTGCCTGTTACCACATCTTCCAACTCTTGGGACATGATGAGCAGTGCCACATGAGCCAAGAGGGGAGGTGACCCCTAAACATGCTCTCTGACTTGGGTCACCAAGGTGCTCAGGACTGGCCCATCTTGGTGCAGTATTCCTGTTTCTCCCTTGGAGATCCCACCTTGTTTATTTTAAGGTATCAGTTTTGCCTGGCCCACAGGGCAGGGTTTAGGGAACACCAATGCCTTCACAGAGGATGTGGGTGAGAAGGGAGAGAGTTGGCGGGGGCCTCCCTCAACTGCGCGTCTCCCGCTCTGCTCCCTCCAGGAGTGGCCGGGCTGACCTGGCAGCCATATACCACGAGCGCCTGGATGTGGAAGGCCACCACTACGGCCCCTCATCACCTCAAAGAAAAGATGCCCTCAAGGCAGTGGACACCGTCCTGAAGTACATGACCAAGTGGATCCAGGTGACCAAATACAAGGACCACTGGGCTAACCTTCCTTCTTGTCAATCTCTGTCTCCTTGACTGTCACATCCCTCAACATCTTCCTTCTTACTGTGGATAGCTGACTAGGCTGGCACAAGGCTTTGAGGGGTCTCTTTTCTTCACACAACTCCTCTTCAGGTACCAAGGGACCCCTTGTGTTACAGCCAGGCCCGTGGATGGAAATGACCCAGGTCTTCATTGTTACCTGGCTTAGCTGGCGGAATGGCTCAGTCCTTTACCAAACCTAATAAATCTGGTAACCAGCTTTGCATGGGCAGGGGAACCAGACCTGGTTTCTGTCCCTGATTCTGCCACACCCTTGCTGAATGACTTTAAGCAAGGTATTTTTTTTTTTAAACTTTCCTGGGCTTTATTTTTCACATCTGTAAAATGGGCAAGCAGCAGTGCTCGTATTACCACACAAGTTTGTTCAAAGAGCCAAAGAAGATGAAAATAGAGAAGATACCTCAAAAGGCTAATGCCCCATATGTATTATTTTTAGCACTGGTAGAATGGGGACTGGGCGTTCACGTTCCCCTCCCCAAAGGGCTTCTGCTACGATTTTGAACTGTGTCCCCTCAGGGCAGAAGGGTAGACAATTAAATCTGGAATTGAGGAAGTATCCTTTCTCCTATAACTTGTAGTTTAAAACACCCTTTTACAGAGTCCTGAGTGTAAGACCCTCCCTCTCTCAGCGCTGGCATGACGCCTTTGTCGCCCACAGGAGCGGGAGCTGCAGGACGACCTCAATGTCATTATCTTCTCAGATCACGGGATGACAGACATTTTCTGGATGGACAAAGTGATTGAGCTGAATAACTACATCAGCCTGAATGACCTGCAGCAAGCGAAAGACCGAGGGCCTGTTGTGAGCCTCTGGCCAGCCCCTGGGAAACACTCCGAGGCAAGACAGCCAGGATGGGGGAGAAGGGCGGCAGGAGGGGCGAGGGGAAGGGAGCAGACACGCCCTCATTCGCCATCGCTTTGCGCTTGATCTTGTCTGTAGTTTTCATGCTGAAATACAGATCCGTGTCAGGAGCTGGGACTCTGGGGACAGGGGACCTCCTTTGCCACTCACTCACCGAGTGACCTCTGTCGAGTTGTTCATCCTCCTATGTCTCTGTCTTCTCTTCTCTGAAATGGGCAGAAAGGTATCTACCACACTGAATGTTAGTGGAAACTCAGTGAGATAAAGGACGTGCAGTGCTTAGCACGTTAAGCGCTTAGTCCTTAGTAGGGCGATTTTATTATTGGCTAAAATGCAGCACTTCTCAGGCAAATCTGGGGCATATCGGATGCAGGCGTCGAGTGCTCTTTCTCTGGAAGAAAGCTGCCAGTCTGGTCTGTTTTCCTCAGGGACCTGGGGATGAGAAGGTGTTGAATGAATGTAAGCTGAGGCTTATCGCAGGAGCCACACTGCTTGGTGGAGACCCCAGCTCTGTCATCAGTTGGTACCCGGGCAGCTCGCTAACCTGGCCCTCTGCTGCTTCTCTGTCCTTGCGTGTGGTGATGTCGTCGCTGCCCTCCTGGGCTGCTGGAAAGCACGCAGAACCGTGCTGGGCCCACTGCAAGGACGATGGACGTGTCACTTATTATGATTATCACCATCGAAGGGGGATGTTCCCAAGAGGGTGTGGTTGAGTTCCCACAATGTGCAGATGTGGGAGAAAGCTCCACTCCCCACAGTCATGCCCTCCAGGAACTCAGCACCCTGAGATGACCAGGCCTCTGCCTACCCTTCCCTCCACACAATAATCGTATCTGGCAGTCCTTGGTAAATCACACGGAGAAAATGAGGAGGAGCACGTGACACCTTTGGTGGAATACTTTGACCCCATATTGCCTAGCCACCTCCCAGTACAGGCTCTAGGGCTTCTGCCCACTCCCAGAGAAAACTGGTCTGGACCAGGAAGTGAGTCTCTTCCTCGGGGGAGGCCCAGACTGCTGCCTGTGGAGGTGCCAACCACAGGGTGCCAGGAATCCGCCTTGGGTGGTCCTGGTGCCTCCACTCATCCTCACAGCAGTGATGAAGTTGGTGATGGACTGTTGTTGGGATTGACGGAGCACAAGGGTGGGCCACGTCTCTCCTCTTTGGCCCAGAGAGAGACCCTCCTCTCAACTCTGCCCACTCCCGTATAAGAGTCTGAGATCTGTGTGTTTGGGGTTGAGGAACACAGTTGCCAACAATGCCACTCCTCCTCAGCCTTGTCCCATTCCCTTGTGGATGCCCCTTTTTCCTCAGGCTCCATGATCAGGAAGTGGATGTACTGAATATGTGTACAGAGTGTCCCCATGAACTCCCTAAATATGAAGCTGGGAAGAATATTTTACACATTGGCAGGTCCCACAGTAAATGGCTTCTTGCAAAGAAGTTCTGTTTTCCTGGCAAGGAAGATCATCTGTATCTCCAATTTGGCACTTAGGAACATGCGTCTCCAGAATACTTGAGCATCAACAGCTTATGAGCTGGGAAGAGCTGCTTCCAATACGGTGTTTAAATCAGGCAGTTGGTAGATTATTCAAAAGCGGGGGCTCTGTTTGGGTGACAGTTTGTCACGTGATGGACACAACAGTTTGTGAGACCCCTTATGTGTCATCAGATTTTTCACTTATCCAAAATCTTTCTGCAAATGCACCCTACTTTCCTTAATAACTATGGGTTTTCTTAAGTAGGAAATCATAACTCATGGGGCCATCAGAAACCCTCTACTACACAGCCTAAGGACTAATTATTTTCCAGAATTGAACTGATAAATTCAATTTTACATTCAGTTCTACCCAGGAATATATGCCTGATTTGGCTAAGGGCCAACAAGTCAACATCAGCGAGTTAATTTTAATTTTAGCCATAAATATTTAAGCTCCTGCTAAATATTGGAAATATGGACAGAGTTTACATCTTCACTATGAAATTAGAAGTGTAATTAATGGCAAACTATTACCAGTACTTTTAGGATTCAAGTGTAGGTGGGACACCCTCTAGGTCAAGTCAAAGAATAAACCCTCTTTCTTTGATCTTGGTGGTATTTAACATCAGGCAGACCAATTCCTCATTTGCCTTTCAATTTTACTATAGCATTTTTGACATAAATAAGTTTTTGTAATTTGTTCACTAATTATTGAGTAGATACCAAGAAATTATTATAAAATATGTGTAAAGTGTAAAGGATAATGTTACAACAAGCACTTTATATCCACTAGACATGTAAGAAAGAGAACATTACCGTTACCAGTGGTGTCTCCTGTGTGCCCTCCTCAGACGCCATCACCTTTTCTGCCCTCGCAGAGGACACCATTGTCCTAAATTATGACTTATCATTTCCATAATTCTCTTTAGTTTTACCATATATATTCTTTAGTTTCGTAGTTATTTGAATTTCATATAATAAGAATAATTATATGTATTCTTATTCTGTCTGTATTCTTCTGCAACTTGCTTTTTTTCCCCTCAAACTGAGAGCCCCAAGATTCTTCCAAGTGTAGCTGTAATCCATTCATCTTCATTGCTGTGTAGTATTCCACTGCAGTAACACGCAACAATCCATTTATCCCTTCCCACTGTTGCCAGGCATTTGGGCTCTCCCAATTTTCAGTATATATGCCTCTCCATGTCTGCAGGTGCACATGTATGAGAGTTCTCACTATATCCCTGGGGGTTAACTTGTTAGGTCATGGGCTATGTGGATCTTCAGCCTTACTGGATAAAGCCATCTTGCTTTCTGAGACAGACAAGTTTCTCATTTTTACGTAGTCAAATCTATCAGGGGTTTTGGTAATTTCTTTCTTTGGTCTTATAAAGTCCTCCCTCTCCCCAGGTCTAATCAATATTCACATATATTTAAGAAAGAAAATGCAAACCTAGTCATTCTTGGTTATGTTTGCAGATATATAACAAATTGAAGACAGTGGAACACATGACTGTCTACGAGAAAGAAGCCATACCGAGCAGGTTCTACTACAAGAAAGGGAAATTTGTCTCTCCTTTGACCTTAGTGGCCGATGAAGGATGGTTCATAACTGAGGTAATTATAAAATACATGACAATTTACTCATTAGACAAATTCTATCAAACAGTCAAAGATAAATAATTAGTCAGCTTTTACACTTAAAAGATTTTGTTTTCACTTAAGTATCATTCATTGCATTACTTCCTTCTCTAGAGCATCAGAAGCCTTGGTCAGGTGACTTGGGAGACACAAACTGTAGACCCGACGCAGAGTCACGGTTTGGACTGCACGGCTCCAGACTCGCTGTGTTTTAACAAATGGGCCTTAGCTCAGTTACCAGGGTTACAATGTAACCTATTCAGTTTAAACTGGAACAATCACTGTGAACCGAAGCAACTGCTCTAGGGCTGTGAAAAGCGAGGAAAGGCTCAGCTTTGCTTCCACCTAAAAGAGAAAGGTTTGGCAAACAAAACTCCAGAGATCCAGGTCCCCAGTTTGCCAACTTGATTTTATGGAGGAGATTATCTTGCATTTTGGGTCCAGACCCTAATAGCCTCACGCCCGAGTGACTGCAGCAGGCTCCTCCTCGCCTGCCTGGGCTCCAAGCTCACCAGGCTCTTGGATCAGCTTCTGATATTGGGCCAGCGTGGGAAGGCCCGCCCCTCAGGGGAACCCGAGGTCATGTCCTCTTCAGGATGGGTTCCTGAAGAGGGCGTGGTTTACTGTAGACATGAGTTTGAAGATGGGTTGCCAATGGATCAGACTACAGGGTGAAAGGGAGTGGCACACATCGGTACATGCGAGTTGTTGGTCGAGGCCACTGAAGTGTAAGACCTCAGACTAGTATTTAATCTACCAGAGAGGGGGCAGGTGGTGATCAGCAGAAATACTGATGAAGCAAATGAGTGGAAGACTGGGGACCTAGGTGTGGAAGAATGGGGCTTCCCTGACCTGAAATTCAGTCCTTCAAGAGGACTGTCATTCCTCTGTGCTCGCAGACGAAGAGAAGCACCTGGTCACCAAGGAAACAAAGCAGACTCGCTCAGAGGTGTCAGCTGCACAGTCCCGAGGCCAAGCTGGGCCCTTCTAATGAGCAGAATTTGGCTGCTTGTGCCATGTGCTTTAAAAGTCTCCAAGAGGGTCCCTCTGCCCCTAACGCTCTCTCCTCTGAGAACCAACATGCTTCTCTTCACTTGATCACACCGTTTGAAGCTCACCTAGAGTGAGATGATTCTAGGCTCCCAGCATTTTCATTTAGTGTGGTTTCTTCAGGGCTCTGCATTGAACACACATGCAGTCCAGTGGTCACCCGGATGGGTGTCCACCCAGCTTTATTCCGTAAAGCCAACTTTCCAAGTCATACCAAATGGCTTGTGTTTTAAAACTTTTCCAATTTAGAAAATTCTAGTGGAATTGCTTTGAGTTTTTAAAAGCAAAAAGACAATGAGGGCTAGTCCACAGTTAGCTGTCACTCATTTCTTAGCGTGACTATGTGTATCTATTGTCTGCGTTCTCATATTTAGCTGAAAATCAACTACACCGAGAGGCTGGTCATGGTAGGGAGGGAGATTGTAAGAATGCAGAGGTGATTTGGGGTAATTTATGGGAAAACAGGCTTAGGTAGGGAGAGTGGCAAAGCCAGAGGGCAGCATGAAGACACTGGACAGCTAATGAGGTGCCATCTCAATTCCAACAGGAGAGGCCCTGGACCCCTCCAGTAGAGTGGAACAGGCACCAGTGAAGCTGCTCTAGCCATACGTGCTGTCGGAGAAAGTTCATTCTGGAAGGTGAACACAGTATCTTGCAGTAGCACATCCTGCAAGAAGATGCAGGTTTTTCTGATGAGTGACTAAAACCCAGTGATAGGGAACCTAGGGGCATCAGTCTAGATGTTCTTGGTTATAAGTCATAGGCCACTTGAATAAATGTGGCTTAAATAATAAAGATTTATTATCTCACATAACTAGAAGTCTGGAGGTAGGCAGCTCCAGAGTTGGTTCATCCAGCAACTCAATGATATCAAGGTCCTGGGTCAGCTCTTTTGCAATTCTTTTAGCTTTCCCTCAGGGTCACAAGATGGCTGCTGCAGCTCCAAGCATCACATCCCTTTAGGTCATCCCAAAGCAGGAAAAAAGAGATGTGATTTCTTCTTGTATATCTTCTATTTTATTAGGGAGCAAAATATATCCCCCCCAGAATCAGAGGCAGATATCGGTTTTGTGGGACTCTGACAATTACAAAATTGGGGGGAGGAGGTCGCTCTTTAAGAAAAGAATACATAATTATGAATATAAAATTAGATACAGGGACTTGGAAGAAACCTATGTAAGCGAGAAGCCCAGAAGCTTCTTTAACTGCACTGTAAATCCGCTTCTGCCCAGAACCCACCAGCAAACTTCTCCTTATGTCTGATCAATCACCTCATTAGTGTGGCTAGAAAATTCCTGCCTTGGGTTCCCTTTGGTCCAAAGATCTGGAACTGTGCTATAATGCAGACCAGGGAGCCACAATCACAAGACAAAAGTGATACAGAGGCTGGGAATTAGGCAGACAAGGTCCCTGAACGTAGATCATCCAAGAAAAGGAGGTGAGAGGAAAGCAAGGACGAAGGGCACCATCTCTACCATTGTGACTAGGGATGGCTGGCTCCGAAAACCCAGTGACAAATCTGATGATGCTTCCTCCTACCCCTGGCTGTGCTTCCCATTGCACCCTCCCCCTACCTCCCAACATTCCCCCACTCTGCTCAGGGTCCAAGTACCTGCTCCCCTGCAGGAAACTGGCAAATTGCAATGTCTTCTGAGGGAAAGCCACATGGCAAGTGCACTCTATCTATTATGCTACCGTCATGCACTGCTTAATGACGTTTCGGTCAACAATGGGCCACATGTAGGAAGGTGGTCCCACGAGGTTAGTATCATACAGCCTAGGTGTGTAGTGGGCTATGCCATCTAAGTTTGTGTAAGTACACTCTATGATGTTTGCACAATGACGAAATCGCCTGACAACGCTTTTCTCAGAACGTGTCCCCATCGTTAGGTGACACGATTGTATGTTATATTATATTACTTTTGTATGTATCACACAAATACACACACACACACACACATTTGTATGTTTGTGTAAATCAGAACTAAGAGTCAATCAGCTAGCAAGGGCTCCCCAGTATTTCATCGTATGGCTTAAGAAGTGGGGAGAAGCCACAAGAACGGAAAGGAAAAATGCCTAACTGTTGGCTGTAACTTGAGCAGCTTTAAAATATATATAGAATTATTTCAACAAGGAGATTTGATGCAGTTTTAAAAACACTTGAAGCAGAAACTTTTTTCAAGAAAGAAAGAAATCAGAAGGAAGATAAATAGAATGTGAAAAAATAAGATTAGTTCTGAAAGATGAGTGTTGACCCACTAAATACAGGAACTATCAATGTTATCTCACACAGCTTTAATTAGTAATAACGGCTACTGTGAAACTGACCTTCATTTATCATGCCTGGCTCATTAGAAAGTTTAGAAGGATTCTTCCTCCAGAGTTTCAATGACATGAACATAAAGTTATTTTACTTTTTTGCTGAAATAAATCTATCAACAAAAATTCCTTCTTAAAATTCTGGTCAATGATGACAGTAATAATAGCTTTCTTGAATTAAGCACTTTCTGGGTAATATTTCTCATCTTTCAATGACACTGCATTGTAGATATTGTTAGTCCTGAAAATAACATACCACAGCATAAAATGAAACACAAACGTGGTTCTGAGCTTCCTAGCAGCCAAGTCAAAGAAGAAAGTCAATTATATTATATTAAGTACAATCAATTATATTAATGTAACTTACGTGTCTATAACATACAAACACAGATGCTTCTCCAGAAAATCATGGTTGTCCCTGAGTCTTAAGAGAAATTTAGGTATATTTTAGTTACTCCTTTTTGTATCTTAGTTTCCTAGACTAAATACCTTAATCATTTTACTCCTATCCTTGAATGTATGGATTTCTACTTTTAAGGCTCATATATAAAAATTATAATTTCCAATTCTACTTTGATATAACATTGGGGTTTTACCTCTTTGTCTTCTGAAAAATCCTAAAAACAAGCGTCCATTTTTCCCTTGTTGTCTTGGACTTTTTTCTTTTACATCTTTCTGTTGTTTATTATACTTACTAGACTACAGAGAATTGAAAACTCTGTTCTATATCCTTGTTCCTGCCCTGTGCCAGGGCTATTAATCTCCCACATTCCTATTTGCAAAATCTCTCCCCACGTGGTAAAAGACTGTTGTTTGCTTTGTAACCTGCAACCAGTGCACAGTGAACGTGGTGGTGTTCTGTGCTGGACTGCATTTTGCATCTGCAGCAGGGCAGAATTCTCAGCCCCAAAAGCAATCTCTCTGGGTCTGGGTTTCGAGAGCAGAGGAGTCTTTATTTCTGGTTTAGACATGATTAGGGAAACAGTTGAATCAGAACAAATTGATGCTGGTTGGGGCCAATAAAATAGAATACCATCTCCCCTTCCTTTGTCCCTATAGCTGTTATCCTATAAACATACAAGATTTGGCTTTCTTGGCAAAAATGCCATTCCCACATAAACACCAACTTTTTGCCACCAATGTAAATTTGTGGACTCTAAGGCAGCTGCTCTAACAGGAAGACTTAACTGAGTTCATTTTTTTTTTTTTTTTTGTGGTTGCTTAGTGAGCTGTCACTGAAAAAGATACAGACATGGAAGTAGATTTCTTTTGTCACCTGGAATTGCACAGTTATCCAGTGTGACTGCCGACATTGCCGTATAAAAGCAAGCTCCCTGCCCAGTGGCTCCCCACAGTTTGCTTCTGCTCCTGCACTCTTTACTATACAGACTGGATTTCCAAGTGCTGCCAGTCTTTTCTCTGCAAGGGCAGAAAGCTGAAGGTGTTCATACTGCCAGAGGACTGAAGGCACAAAACCAGCCACCTACATAGGTCAAGCCCCAGCCTTGGACACCTGCCAAGCTCCTTTCTTCAAGGATGGAAATAGAGCTTCCTAACTGATGCCCCCACCTCCTGTGTCTCCCTAAGATCTGGTCACTGTCCTCTGG